ATTTTGAGTTTAATAAAAATATGAGGTAATAGGGTTTGTGAATTAACACTTTTGAAAAGATGTTGTTGATTCAGTAGACTAGTTAAATTCATAGCTCTATAAGGATTTTTATTATTATAACTCAAAGAGGTGATAACGGCAACAGATGGCATCAACAGCAGTAGAAGCTAACACACCGTCAAATACATTCTATTTTTTTTTTTTTTTTAAGGCCATAATTCGTCGGTGTTTGCATTATTAAAACGAATCCTTTATTCAAGAAATGTTTATTTCTAAAAATCTCGGCAGACGTTTCAAATACATTTTTACGTACCTATACATTTTTTCAAAATATTTATGTTATTAAGTTTCAAACAACACATATGATGATAAAGTTCTAGGATTATTTAAATATCTCATACGCTCGTAATGCCTGTGCATATGAATTGCCAACATTAATAATATGCTCACATTTAATACAACGAAAATACAGCTTATGAAAAATCGTACGTTGTAAATACGAAAATAGCATATATTAATAAAAAATTTAAACGTAGAATACATACGTATAATACGTAGGATTAGACAAGACCATTTATGGAACACAACCAATAATACTATATTATTGCCTTAGTTTTGGCTTGTGGATTAGGACATTTTTTATATTATCCTAATTGTATTAAATTGATTGGTTTTGTTTCCAAAATTATATCATTAACACACTAACACGTATATTGAAGTTATTAATTAAATTTGATTGCCGTTATTGATGTAACAATTCACAACGATAATTAACCGAATATCGTATTGTCGACATATTGTACCTATCAATTGTTAGATATTAACCACTAAATACTCGTTCTGGCTCTAAAAATTTAGTCCATCACTCATCTTATATAGTGTATTATAACAAAGATCGTATTCGAAACATATTTTCTCAGTTTATTCAATTGTTTCCTCTTAGGCTTAGCTGTTATAATTTTATTTATAAAACAGAATCACAAAGTATTGCATTGAATACTTTTTTATCATTAGGTTACAGTTAATAGAGATTCATTGCGTATTAGTAATTATATATCTTAGAAATTAAGTGTGTAAACCTTAAAATATAAAATTATTATTTAATCACATCGATATAATTGATTATCGAAATCACAAAACATAATTGTTTTTCTCCGATTTGTGTAATAACAAGAAATACTAGTTCAATATTAAAGATTAATATTTTTAGGTACATTATAAATTGTCTCTTCTCCGTTTTAATTAGCCATTTTATTTCTAAATCGAATTTTATGATTTGATTATTTATGAGATTAAGTATAATATTTATTATATTTATCAATTTGTTTTCCTCAAATACCAACACATTTTACGCTGTCTGAAAAAAATACAATACCCGACTACTTAGTTGAATGAACATGACGTACGTTTATTGTACAATTATTAGAACCCTCGTAGTACAATACACATACGGTTTAAAAGAAATGTATAATATGGTAGACTCTCCTTTAAGCCGTACTAACGTATAATACTACATGGAATTTCAACTATTTGTTCCTGTGCAAGGAACAAGAAAAAATTAATATTTCAATATAATATGATAATGAATAGTTTTTTTGTTCTCATAAACGTTCTAGGAAATGAAAAACGTATGTTTAATAAAATAAGCTTATAATTTACGTTTAGGATATTTTAGTTTATAGGTTTGAGGTTTCAAGTATAATTTTATTAATATAACTTATCAAAACTAAAATAGTGTCTTTGTGCATCTTTATAACGTGCACCTAACGTAAATAATAACGAAAAAATCGTCTTACACTGTCTTTCCGACAACGAAGATTTTAGATCGATTTGCCTCCAGCGCGCAAGAATATTAACGTCGACGTATGTTCTGCATGTACCTATGTTGCCGCCATTAACGGATGAAAGAAAAGAAATGAAGTATAATATAAAACGTAACAGAACACGCAAAGACTTTAGAATGAAAAACGACACTCGTCATGTGTAGTGTGTCTATGCGTGCACAAGAAATTTCGCGAAGTAATTGGCTGGGTAAAAAAATTAAACATCACTCAGAGTACCTACATAATATAATAAGAAAAGAAAATTGATGCTTATGCGAATCTTATCCGACCTAATAATATAGAAAAACTCGCCGAAGACTTGTTCCGCTAAATATTTAATGTCGTGTGTGCTTCGTCGATTTCGGATTTTTCATATTATGGTAAATTATGACTTACAACACGTATTAAATACCACTATACATATACTATTATTTATATAACACCTCAGTACCTCAATTTACTGTTCATAGCGTTCCAAAATGTAAGTCATTGAGCTTTTCGTTTAGCATTGAATATTTTGTGTGTTGACTGGATGTAATATCTTGATTGGTAATTCTCTTAATTTTCATTATTTAATTTGTGGTTCGGTCTAATCATCTGACGAGCTATAAATAAATTACCAAATATTTTAGTTCCGAAAAAAGAAAATAACGATAGTTTATTTTAATTATTATTCTCTCGTAGTTTCAAATCACTTATAATTTATGTTTTATTTTGTGTTTAACAATAATAAAACAAATTATTTATTATCTGGTATTAAATACATTTTGTAAACATTTTAGATGTCGGTTTCTACAATTTTATGTAGTATTTACTTTTGATGTACAATTTGTTTATTACTTAAGATAAACTACAAGATAAACTATAAGATTGCCAAGTTATTTACAATATTGTATTTTATGTTTTAAGACTTCATCACATTTTAATAAGTTAATATTATACACAGTATTTTGTAGAACTCAATTTTAAACGTATGTAATATTTTATAAGAAAGAAAACAACGTTAAATAAATTGTTGGTTTTGGTTACGTCTGATTTCAAATGGCAATTCATACCAATATAATGTTTTCAAGATATTTAAACTAATTAAAAACGTTTGAATTAATTTGTTCATATAAAATCAAGATTACACTAATTTAAGAATACCATTTTAGATACTTAAATATGACTTTGAGTTTATTTTGAGTTCATTAAGAAACTTAAATAATGAAAATACTACTCAAATATTAATAATAAATGTCATTAAAAAATTATTGTTTTGGGTACAGAATTCAACTAAATATTCAAGTAAAAACAATTCGATGTACTTTTTGATATTAAATTTGAAAAAAAAAAAATATATTATTTTGCTTTTTCGTATTGTTATTCTTAAGACTTTATATAATATTATTTTATTCAAAGTTATACAAATTAATTTGTTTTCGTTTTTAAAAGTTTAAATTGAGTATTGCTTTAGGTTAAACACATTAAAATAATTTTATTCCATTTATTTATGTGGTTATTCTAAGCCCACAAATAGTAAAAAATAAAAGAGAGAACAGTTAAAATAATATACGAATGAAATTTTGTACCACTTTTATTTGGTCATGTTTAGAATATATATTAAATTCATACTACAACTACAATTACATTTTTTGAAGTTTTAGTTTTAATAAGTCTTATAATTATATCTACAAATTTCAAAAATTGAAAACTGACAGACTTGATATTTGTTGATACAACTTTTTCATTTACCGTTTTATTTCATATTAAATTTAATAACAAATAGATAATAAATCACCATTTAAAGTATCTTGTTTGGGTTGATTTTCATATGATGCAAACTCAAAACCGGTTATTTTAATTAAATTAAAATATTCAACGGACATAAATTGTTCATATTTTATTATACACTGTAATGTAAAGAAATCAAATATATACATGTATAGTAGCTTAACGTTAATGTCCAAACACATCAACCAAATAACATTTACTCGCGTATATAATATCTATGTGTAATATTCATTACGTCCAAATAACATTTTTTTTTAACATGTCATTTGAGTATAACACAATAAACACGCGTGAATTATAGAATCGGCCGTCGCCCATTGTATTATTTTTTTTTTCATTTTTTTTTTTTTTTAGAACAAAACATAATTTTATATAACATATTATATTACAATAACTTTACACTAATCGGAATCGATGATTAAAAACAGATTTATCAATAATAGTCATGATATTAATAATATTGAGAAATAAAAAAAAAAAAAAATGTCAACAATAATAATAACTACATGATTAAATGGGGACACAATTATGAAAACATTATTGATTAGGTAACCGACTAACTGTTTCAACTGGTCAACGCGAAGCTGCAAAATACGAACCACTATTGATTTGTCGGACACGCCGCGTGTTTCTTGGCGTTTACGTTAAAATTCATATGGACTATCGAAATATCAGCCAAAACAACGTTTGTGGTATTAAATTAAAACAACATCAACTCACTAAGACCATTGTCGTGAATTAATCACTCGTCTGCCGCTCGGACGGAGACGTGTTTGAGGTCCGACTCTGGACGACGTACGACGAATGAGTCAAGTATATCCATTTACATTCAACGTTTTCGTTAATCGTCAAGTCCACTCGCAGTTCGGTTTTTGACTAAATAATGTTTATGTAAAGAGTTAGCGCACGCGCGGACTCGTTATTTTAAGAACTACCGGCTCACAACACGCTGTCCCCCTAGATCCCCGACACGAGCACTTGGAAACAGCAGCGGCGGCGTATGATCCAAGACGATTTTCGTCTCGGTAGTCTTAGTTAGTCGTGATAGTCGTTGGCGATATAGGCGACCGGCAAACGACATTGGTTCACCGCGTACGTTCCACAGTGACGACCGCGAACCAACGATAAAATAATAATAATACAATTAATGCGATTATAATTATATTATCGATAAGAAGATTGTGTTGTCGTTACAGCTACCGAGAAATCGATTCCGTGCTGTTGTTATTTTTTAATTGTTAACTGTTTTAAATATATGTATATATATATATATATATATATATGTCATAAATATTTACTCCGCCGATGTGTGTTGTATCGATTTAATATCTTACGAAAAATTGTGTTTTAAACCATTGTATCATGAACACGTTGCTCACGTGGGTTTTTGTTCTGTCGTTTAAGGGGGCCATACAAGAAATGAAAATCTACGCATCACCAGATCTCGCCGATATCCAGTGCACGGAATTATTACAGGTAAGTCGTCAGCTGAAATAGGTCTAGCACATTGCATACGTGTGGTTTGATCGCATCTCCGGTCAAAAACTTATACTTGTTTTTACGAAATAAGTATATTTATAATAAACTCGTAATAAGACTTGATTGGATTTTAGTGAAATACAAACCTCTTACATGTATCCAAGCCATTATGTAGTATTTTCCAATTCAATGGTAATCATTTAAATAAAAAACAATTGTTTTAGTTAGCTAAGTTAAGTCAACATTAGAAACGTTAAGTAATGAGTTCATAGTTAACAATTTTAAATTTAACTGAGTATTTTTAAATATTTACTTAAATCAGTTAAAAATAAATTAATAAATTAATAATTTTTAATTACCACATACACGAGTATATTAGTTATTGTACTAATCACATTTTATTTATTTTTTTAAATAATTACTAAATATTGCACCATAAATGCTTCCTACATTATTTACTATTCATTTTTATTGCACACTAACTATATATTGGTTTAATAAAAAAATACGTCTGTATCAACTAAATAAACATTAAATATTGCATATTTATTTGTATTTAAAAGTTTGTGTATAGCAAATTAAATTAAATTAAACTAAATTAACTGAACCTTATTACAGTATATTACCTATTTAATTAGTTAAATTAACTATTAAATAACTAATTATGTACTTTAGGTTTAATTGTTTACTAGTTGATACCCGTATTTGTGAGTACATATATAATATAATATTATTATGCACTAATTAACAATACACTTGAACATCTGGGGATTGCAAAGAACCAAAGCAAAAGTCATTTATGGTTTATTACAATAATTTTCCTATGTACGGTCAGCAATCAATTTAACTAGGTACTTTATGATAAAAGAGGTTTTTTTTTACGAGATATATATTTTTATAAATTAATTCTGCTTTACGTATTTATTGAAAATAAATCATAACATTTTAATTCTTAAACAGTTTTTTCATTACTTTTATAAAATATGAATCCTACGGAAAGTATAATAAGGCCTAGTGAATACAAATCATTTTAATTTGAATTTACTATTTTAAAATAGCTCAATACCACTGGAAAAAATGAAAGCATTAAGTTTTTTTTAAAATTATAATATTTATTGATTTTATGTCCATATCTATAGAACTTAAGTTTTTTTGCATCAGTTTATTATTCTATTTAACTTGTAAAACATATTATTTTTTTTTTATGCTTTTATGTGCATATATACCAATAAATTTCACAATTTAACTATAACGAAATACTGTTGATATGACACCCCATTTCGATTACTTGTCGAGTAAAAAACGTATACGTACAAGTTTATTTTTTTTCTCATCCTCAAAATCCTGTGAGTATTAAGTGCTAACATACACTTAACTTTGTTACAGTTGAACGACCTAAATAAAATTAATTTTACTCTTGTTTCAAATTAGCTAATGATTACCTATGCTGAACAAAATAATAATTAATCTTCCGATATTCAAATTGTCAAGATTAAAACACGCTATAATATTCGTATTGAATTTGTTTTTATTTATTTATTTATTTTATTCGTGTACTAATTATTAATTAATTTATCAAGCTGTCCTAAAACTAATTTGTATTCAATTCATTATGTTCTGTATGAATGCGTTTTACCCGCTAGTTTATAATTATTAACAAATTATAAGGCAAATAAATTAAATAAGACTGTTTTTTTTACACTGAAATATTTTGATAACGATTTAGCTATTATTATTGATAATTTATTAAATAGGTAATTGAGCAAAGTAAATAATTTAAATTTTTATAATAGTATGTATACATTATAATATTTTCGAAAAAAAAGTATTTAAATCAAATATATTTTTGATAATATAAGTCGATTAGCTCTAGCAGTTTTTTCTATAAATCAATATAATTTATGGAATAACATATCATAATAATACATTATCATTATTTAAATTTAACTTAGTGTAGCAAAATGTACCCTCAAATCCAATCTCAAAACATTAGTATTCATAAAATAGCATTAAAATTAAGTATTTCATATTTATTGATGATTTTAAAATATTAGTATTTTCATTAAGTAACACTAAGATAGTTGTTTTGTCATGCTTAAATTAAAATAAAATAATAATTATATAGACAAAATGGGAATATTATCAACTCACTATTTTTCAAATATTTGTCAATAATAAATTGTATGATTAAATATTAAATTAATAGTATATTTTGACAAAATTAAGAATTTTTAAAATAAAAAAAAATTATATATTTAAAATTTAAATATTAAGAGCTGAGGCACAACTACAAAATATTTAAAAACATATTTAATACATACTAACAATAGAAAATTATACGAATTAAATCGATTTTAATTTAAGGTTTATATAATAATATAATGTTAAATTTCATATAAAAAAAATCAGACACTTAAAATGTATGTATATTTACAATTCTACATTTTTTCTCAATTTCTCAATAAGTATATTTCCTTTTGTGAATGTTGAAAATGAATGAAAAACGAACACTACTGAAAATCCCTAGCGACCACCTAGCTAAGTCTTACAATACTCTGCAGGGTTTAACTGCAACGAGCAAGACATTTTTAATAAGTAGTCCCTTTGCGCCAAGTCAGCTAAACATTTGTTTAGATTCCATTACACAGGTTGTTTTCGTCGATTTCAGAGTTAACGTGGTTCATACGTCTTATCGTTGTTTAAGTTGATTTATTTTTTTTTCTTCATATAGGTCATCATCATTATTCAATATAGGAGCTATAAAAACATGAAAGCTACCTTTCATTAGTTATTTATTTCTTAATAGAACAATACTCTTCATAGTAATAATTATATATATTATTATGATTTGTAGTATTTGTTCATACAAGCATAGGTGTTATATCAAAACCTGTTGGTAATTTGGTAACTATAGTATTAGTTGTATAATCTTCTTCACATTATTTTATTCATTGATCTGGAAATACATTGGAATTCGAGGCCATCTGTAAAAAATATGTATAGTAAAATACAATATTCTCTATGCCTTAATTAAAATCATAATAAACACAAGAATGTGTTCCGTAACGATAACATAATAACACAATTATAATATGTAAAATATTACATAATAAAGTTATCAAATTATGTTGTTATCCAAAGTTATTTTGAATTCCTAATATTCAGTTGAAAAATTTAAAAACATTTTTTTTTTTTTTATATATTAACTGACCCTTAGATCTTAATTTTCAAGCTCGCTACAATTTATTTATAGAAAAATTCCATGCATAAAATATTTTCTTTACTCATATATGCATAACTCGGACTAGGTAATTGTACCTAAAATTTTAAGCCGTTTACATGACGTCAAGTGAAATTATTCATAGGATATATGTTAACCTCGTCAAACGTATACGTATACCTATCTTTTATGTCGTCCAGTAGCTTACACCGTCTATTATAATAATTGCGTGTTCTAATGTAATTTATTCTTGACGTTAATTAACACGTGAAACCCATCGAACGTCCAAAATATTTGGTGATGAATAAAAAATGGTTATATTTATGCCTCAATCAATGGTAGATTTTCAATTACGATTTTTTTCACTTAACGAAAATCTTGAAAAAAGCTATTAAGTATCCAATTAAATATGTTTAAAAGACATTCTGGTTATATATATTTTATTTTAACGAGACTCGTTTTGAAGAAACTCTGCTTGAATTTACTACATTTAAAAAAAAATTGATTAAATATAACACCTGCGTTATTTTGCAATGTTTCTTTTTTTAACGAAAACTCATCTTAACATCATATCAAATTGGAATGTCAATGTAGAATTAAATTAACTAAAGCGTCAAATCAAAGTACGTCAACTTAACTATTAAAAAACTAATGTAATGTCTAAAAAAAAAAATAATTTTTTTCTTTATATATGCCTAGAAAACATCTTTAAAATTTCATGTTTAAATATTGTAATGATTTTCCTTGCAAAATGTTTTTTAAGGCATAGATCATTAGTAGTAATATGTAAATAATTGAAAAATGATTTTCTTGTCTTATACTATTGTTTCTCAGTATGCACTATTATAATATTACGTAAACAATAAATATTATTTTCTTGAACTATTTTTAAAAATATCTTTGTTTTATTTTAATTTTTGAAACTATTAATTTATTATTTGAAAACAAATTAAATTTCAATAGTTTTACTAAAACTAAAACTTATAAATATTATGCTCAAATAGATTTTAGTTTGAAGTGAATTATATATTAGTAAAATAATTTTTATCAAACTATCATTTAATTTAATTTATATATTTGTATATTTTATTTGATAAAATAAACAAACAATTAATTTTCATATTAATTTTAAACAATTAACCTATCAAAGTCTATTGACATTAAAAAAATACCTATTTTTATAATAGGCATTATTAATACAGTTCTTATGCACTAATTATTGTTTTCTATTGCATTTCATACTTTTAAACAATTTAATCCTGTTAATATTAAAATCTAAAAATAATTAAGAGTTATTTAATAACCAGAATGTAGTCTACTCAATATTTTATGATTGTAAATGTTTACCTCTCATTGTCTTATAAATACTAGATGATCCATTCATAGAGAATAATGCTTGATAAATAAGCTACACTAGAAACATTTTTCATCCTAAGCAGCAATTTTAAATTATTCAAATTTAATAAACGTGTATATTATTTTTGTGAAAATATATATGTTACCTATATTATTCAGCCATAAAAAAGATTGAAATATAACGACTGACGAAGACATCCAATCAGAACACAAAAATATACGTGTATATAGTTACAGGATTATATTTGTTTTCTCATGGGTCTAATGGTTCTCTTCCTCTTTCTAGTACCGAGATGCTTATGTCAGTATGATGATATACACGTGTACGTGACGTACCTACCTACTTTAACCAACTTTGGTCTTCTACTTCCCGTTGTATCGACCGTACGTCATTCGTCAATCAGGAATTTTCGTGTATAGT